TTTGAATGGGTAAAAGGGGGGAAATAATGTTAGGATGCTTGGCTGTCTTTTGAATCTTGGTTTCCTTTGCATACCATTGTAAAATAGACTTTTGGGGGGGGGGGCAGAAAAAGGAATAACCAGAATTATCACCATAGAAAGCTTGTTAAATCTATCTTCTGCCTATAACTGATTGTTGTTGCTAAGTGCCGTTAAGTCGGTTCAGACCCATAGGAACCCTGTATAGGGTTTCTGAGGAGCGGCTGGTGAGCTAGAGCTGCCTATCTTGCAGTTCAGATGGCTTTGCAGTCTTCCACATTAACCCACAGTGCCACACCAGGACTCCTGGAATACTTAAAATGGGGCTACAACTTGTGGAGGAGAAGGAGCCTTCTTGCGGAGACTCTGCATTGCATAAGACCATCAGTGGAATCCTAAACCCTATCCAGAATCTTCTGAGATGGGAAATCTGCACTTGAAAGGACATGCAGACCAGCCTGGAGTGACTAGAAGACAGAAAATATTTCTTGAAAGAAAGACCAACAAGAAAAATCAAAAACAATAATGGCAGTCTGATTGACTATTACAACAACAAGCTAGTTGCTAACCCAGGAGACATCAAGACAAGTTGTCCGGTCCCTCAGGGCAACCCCCCTTCCTTAAGACTAAGACTTAAGGGGAATACACGAGCAGACATGTGGTCTGGCTGGTGATTACGTTGGTCACCAATAAAGGGAAATGAGGGGAAAAACAGCAGTGAAGCTGTGAGCTAAGTCCTACCACGTTCAATAGACTCCTGTGAACCCCGGTGGGGACCTGGTTGGCCAGCAGTGTGACAAGACCTGGGGATGCCTGGGCCCAGAGTCAGTGACGTAGCCCCAGAGGACTAGTGTGGAGAGTGAAGTGTCCCACTGATAAGAAGTGAAGTCATATGCACAAGAACACCCACACTTGCAGATAATGCCCATTTGACTTGGCTTCAATGGCTGGATGATCAGAACTCAACTAGAAGAAGAAAGAAGAGGAATAAAAGAGTAATCTGATACAATTTGATGAACTTGACCTACACTTAAGGATGCAGTAGCTCAAAAGAGAGAACAAACCTTTACAGCGAGGATCATTCCCAACCCTCGGTACATAGGATAAACAGGAATGGGCAACTTGGACATTGGCTACCCAAAACGGGGGGAGGGGAAAGGCTACAAAGGCAAGAAATTACTGGCTTACAAGCTTTTAAGAGGGAGCCTTGATCCAGAGGGTTTAGGGGAAGGTAGACTCTCCACTGAGCGGTATCTAATCTGTCTGGGCGGGGCTGGTGAAAGGAAATGGGGTTAGGACTCTTGTGGTACAATAGTGAATCATTGCTATCAGGACTGACTGTGATGGTTGGAAATGTAAAAGTTGACTTTTTGTAGCAAAAGGAGGGGAGTGGTTGCCTTTGCAGTCCAGGAGCAGAGGTCCCTGGGGCCATCAAGGGAGAAGAGTAGAGTGTGGAACCTTACCCAGACAAGCAGTGATGCCTGAGATGGAGGCAGAGACAATGATGCGGAGAGATGGAGTGGCTGGGGACTCTATACCCCGAGAGGGAGAGGGTCTGTGTGCTGATGACCGAAGGGCAGGCTTGCAGGTTATACTCTTTGGTTGTTTGATGATGCTTGGAGGGGATTGTAATCATGGAAATGAAATGATATACAATAGGATGAATGTAAAGCTAATGTTCTCCCATGTAAACTATCAAATAATTCACAGTAAAACATGTTTTAAAAATGTATGAGAAACTTCTAATCTTAGTGTATAAAAGTAATTTTGCAGTAAAGTGTTTAGATTATGATTGGCAATTTATGGTAGTCATTAGAATAACGCAGTATGTTGTTGTTTGGTGCCATTGAGTCAGCACCAACTCATAGCGACCTTGTGCACAGCAGAACAAAACAATGTCCGATCCTGGGCCAACCTCACTACTGTTGCACACTTGAGTCCATTGATACTGCCATTTTTCAAGTCCTTCTTGCTGGGGGTCTTCCTCATTTTCTCTGAACCTCCACCTTACCAAACATGATAATCCTTCTCCAGCAACTGGTCCTTCCTGACAATATGTCCGAATTATGAGAGACGAAGTTTGGCCATCCTGGCCTCCAAGGAGCACTCTGGCTGCACTTCCACAAAATATTTTTAATTGTAATAATATTTAAAATAATGAATTATATTTTCTACCACTTGTCTGTTAGCTTGTCATACTGTGGTAGTTTCATGTTGCTGTGATGCTGGAAGCTATGCCACCAGTATTTTAAATACCAGCAAGATCACCCATGGTGGACAGATTTCAGCAGCACTTTCAGACTAAGACAGACTAGGAATTAGAGCTGGACTACTTCTAAATGGTTAGTCACTGAAAACTTTATGAATAGCAGTGGAAATTGTCAGATACAGTTTTAGAAGGTGAAAATATTATTAATAATAGAAAAACACTATCAGATACAGTGCCAGAAGATGAGTCCCTCAGGTTGGAAGGCACTCAAAATATGACTGAGGAAGATCTGCCTCTTCAAAACAGAGTTGGTCATCATGATATGGATGGAACAGTGCTTTGGGGACCATCATTTGCTTATGTGGTGCAATTCCAAATAAGGAGAAACAGCTACAAACAGCCATTAATGATCAGAACATGGAATGTACGAAGTATAAACCTAGGAAATTTAGAAGCTGTCAAAATAAATGGAACACATAAAGATAGATATTCTAGGCATTAGTGAACTGAAATGGATTGGTATTGGCCATTTTGAATCAGATAATCATGGTTTATTATGCTGGGAACAACAAATTCATGGGAAATGTCACATTTATAGTTAAAAAGAAATTTCAAGGTCTGTCTTGAAGTGCAGTGTCCTCTGTGATAGGATAATATTGATACACCTAGCATTTTAGGATAAGCATGGACTGCTAGTGACGAGATCAGCAGCTTAAACCCATCCAACAATAAGGAGGACCAGCTAATACCAATATTAATATTCAAATTTATGTACCAACCACTAATGATGAAATTGAAGAATTTTACCAATTTCTTTAGTCTGAAATTGATCAAACATGCAATCAAGGTGTATTGATAATTGCTGGTGATTGGAATATGACAGAAACAAAGAGGAAGTATCACTTGTTGGAAAATATGATCTTGGTGATAGGAATGATGATGCTGGAGGCTACATGATCGAGACAAATGACTTACTCATTGCAAATATCTTCTTTAAACAACATATACACATAACCATCACCAAATGGAATATATGGGAATCAAATCAAATTGACTACATCTGTAAGAAAAAACAGTGGGACACTCAGGGTAATCATCCCAAAACAAGGCCAGGTGCCCCTGTGGAACCTATCAATTGCTTATATGCAAATGTAAATTCCTTATATGCAAATTCAGGCTGAAGAAAATAAAAACAAGTTAATGAGAGCCAAAATATGACCTGGAATATATCTCACCTGAATTTAGAGACCATCTCAAGAATGGGTTTGATGCATTAGATGCTAATGACTGAAGACCAGTAAAGTTGTGGGATGACATCAGCAACATCATACATGAAGAAAGCAAAAGATCCTTAAAAAAAAAAAACAAAACAAAACAGGAAAGGAAGACCAAACAGATCTCAGATGAGATTCTGAAACTTGCTCTCCAGCATAGAGATGCTAAAGTGAATGGAAGAAATAAAGAAGTCAATGAGCTGAACAGGAAATTTCAAAGGGCAACTTGAGATGACAAATTCAAGTATTATATTGAAATGTACAATGACCTGAAGTTAGAAAATCAAAAGGGAAGAACATGTTCAATATTTCTCAAGCTGAAAGAACTGAAAACAAGTTCAAACTTCAACTTGCAATATTGAAGGGCAAAATAATGAATGATGCAGAAAGCATCAAAAGAAGATGGAAGGTATACACAGAGGCACTGTACCAAAAAGAAATGATTGATGTCCACTCATTTCAAGAGATAGCAATTTCCTTAGAAGTCAGGATGGCGATATTTTGTCTCTCATACTTCGGATATGTTATTAGGAGAAACTAGTCACTAGAAAGGACATCATGCTTGATAAGGTGGAGGGTCAGCGAAAAAGAGGAAAATCCCCAATGAGATGCTTGGCACAGTGGCAGCAGCAATGGGCTCAAGTGTAACAGTAATTGTGAGGATGGCATAGGACTGAGCAGATTTTCATTTTGTTGTGCATAGGGTCGCTATGAGTCAGAGCCAACTGGATAGTACCTAACAAAAATAGTTAGTTATATTTTATTATTGGTACCTCTCTTATTGGTTGTAGTTATACATTAGCTTTGAGTGGTATGCCCTAAGTTTCTCAGTCTCTAAAGGCCTACTTTATCATGTGTAAATTGGAAAAATAATGTGTATTTAATAAGATTGAATGAGCTACATGCTTACCATAAGGTCTGGCATATAGTAAGCTTTCATATGTTGTTGTTAAGTGTCGTTGAATCTGTTCTGACTCAGCAACCTTATATAGGGTTTCAGAGGAATGACTGGTGGATTTGAACTGCCAACCTTGTGTTTCAAACCGATCTTGCAGTCTAGTGCTTATCCTACAGCACCATTTTATTTAAATTATTTTAAAATTGGATGCTTTAAATGGAAACACTTCTCCAGTTTGTTAAAAATTATCTTCTGAGTACCTTGACTATCTTCTATGTGGATAATCTTTCAAAGAGGGCTATAAGATACAGAAAGGATATAGATTTCAATCAAAAGTCTGGATTCTAATTTCTCCCTGTAATCTACAGGCTATACATAGGAAATTTGTATAACTTTTCTTCATTTAAAAAGATGAGATTTTATAGCCTTTTAGAATGTATAAAGGGATGAAGCAGCATGTAGTTGGATCTGTGTCAGAAAAATAATATATTTAAGTGTTATTACTATAAGAATTTTGTGTCTGAATATTACTGCTTTGGAGTAATTGAATGATGTATCTCTTTGTTTTTCTCTTGGTTGTTTTAACTTGTTATTCTGTTAGGCTATTCATTCAATTGATTGGCATCATGAAGGCAGACAGTTCATGTGCAGTCATTCAGATGGGAGTTTGACCTTGTGGAACCTGAAAAGTCCAAGTCGTCCTTTCCAGACCACAATTCCACATGGTAAGATGTGTACTTTCAAAATTAACAGATATTGGACATATACAGTGCCTTAATTAGAAGTAAAAAAGGTGATGAGTATTATTTTTGGTAGGGAGAGGTGCTTGAATACATCTTACAGGTTTTTCAGATTCCCACATTATATCTCAAATTTTCTGTACTTCTCTTTTTCATATTCTTGTAGTTTTCTTGCTTTTAAAGCTGTGCTTATTACTTAGAGCCCTTTTCAAACAAAATGTATTGTCAATGTACTTCAAACAGAAGATATAATATAGGAAATCTGGACAGTTTTAAGGATTGAGGAGCAAATGAGAGAATGGCATTATGTAGCTTGTGCTTTCATATTTAATTCATACAAATTCATACACTGTGTTAAGGCATGTTGTTTTCTAGCTTTTCCATGTATTTCCATGTCTACAGTTTGTTTCCACTAATTTATGAGGACTCTGTTTTGATTTTGTAGGTTGTATTTTATTACCTTCTGCATTGAAAAGGCATATTTAGGATTCATGCTGGATCTGTCTACCTTACTGAGCAAAATAAAAGTTCAAATATACGTTGTTTCTATTGCTAAATTCCTTCTAGTCAGTTCTGATTCATAGCAACCCTGAATAGAGTTTCTGAGGAGTGGCTGGTTCGTTTAAATTGCTGATCCTGTAGTTAGTAGTCCAGTGATTATCCTGTAGCACCACACCAGGATTCCATTCAAATACATGATATCTATAATTCACATGACCAAATTATTGTAGAAAATAATGGTGATTACCTAAGTTCCTGTTTAACTTAAACTGTTCACTGTAGGTTTTTTATAGAAAAGGAAAGTTAAAAAACAAAACCTAAAAGTTAATTAAGCACATTATATTTTGTCATTTCTGAGCATTTATTAACAGTGTCACATTTAGAAAATAGTGACATGTTTTCTATAGTGGGTGACCTATAAATCACAAAGTTTCTCAAAATTATTTCATCTTGTATTGGTATATATATATACACACACACACACTCTGATAGCGTAGTGGTTATGAATCAGGCTGCGAACCGGAAGGTCAGCAGTTCGAAACTACCAGCTGCTCCACGGGAGAAAGATGAGGCTCTCTGCTCCCGTAAAGATTTACAGCCTCAGAAACCCTGTACAAGGGTCACTATGAGTCAGAACCAACCCCACGGCACATAACAACAACAACATTA